TTTTTGTTGTTGTTGTTTTCTTTTTTTCTGTGTGTATGCGTGTGTTTTCCATGTATTTGAAGTTGGGCTTCAAATCTCTGTCTCTAGTCATGACTCTAAGACATACTCTTTTACATAGGATCCATGTGTTACCATAGGGGAAAAAAAAAGAGACAAATATTTAAACCATACATTGTAATAATAATGATGCCATGAATTTTCTAGAAATTTCCCTCTCATCTGCTTGTTTCAGATGATGTAATATCTCTAAGAGCTAATCCCCCCATTTTGAGAGGTTTCATCCAAAAAAACAGCTGACTTTCTAAGAAACTTCTAGTCCTCAAAATTGATCACTTCTCAATCTAAGGATGGAATTTAATACAGGCATGATTTATGGTTATGAGTTTATAATACTAAGTAGACTTTAAAATATGATGTTTTCTTAAATCTTAAATAGTAACTAGCAATCACAGAATATTTCCTAATTTCACTAACAGACTCTGGAATTTGGTTATCACCTAATTCTGGCTTTCCTACAGAGTTCTTGTGATAAATTGTTTTGAGTATCTATGCTGCTATGAATCAAATCAGAGAGATTTCAATTTCCAAAAAAAAAAAAAAAACCCATAAATTAGTGCCTACAACAAGTTTTATACTATATTGGAGAGTTATTATGATCTGCCTCTTTTTATAATTACATGTATTAATTTATATATCTATTGACATTGATGTTCATTTTAAGACATTTACTTTCCCCTTCCCCAATTCACCTACACATCATTATCACAATCCCCCACATTGCTCACTCCCTCCTTCCTATCCTTTTCCCTCCCTCTCCCCTGTAGGACATCTCTGGTTTATAATTGTTTGTTTCTGATTTGTTGTGTTGTGTTTTGTATTGTAATAACAATGAAATGTTTCCCTATGTCTTACTTAGTTCTTTTATATCCCTCTTATAAGTGAAGCTATTCAATATTTTTCATTTCCCTTCTGACTTATTTCACTGAGCATGATCTCTTCCAGTGCCATCCATGTTGTTATGAATGGCATGAGTTTGTCTCTTATGATTGCTGAGTAGTATTCCACTGTGTATACCACATCTTCTTCATCCAATCGTCTAATTTTGGGCACTTGAGTTGTTTACAGGATTTTCCTATTGTAAATAGTGCTGCAATAAACATAAGAGAGAATGTATCTTTTGAATTAATGTTTTTGTGTGTTTTTGGTAAATACCTAGGAGTGGTATTGCTGGGTCATATGGTAGCTCCATTATTAGTAGTCTGAGGAATCTCCAAACAGTTTTCCATAGTTGTTGCACCAGTTTGCACTCCCACCAGCTATGTAAAATAGTTTTTTTCATCATATCCTCACCATAATTTGTTGTTGTTAGTTTTTTTTGTTTTTGTTTTTTTTTTTTTTTTGATCTGTGTCATTCTCACTGGTGTGAGGTGGTATCTCATTGTGGCTTTGATTTACAGTTCCCTGATTATGAGGGATGGTGAACATTTTTTCGTATGCCTATTGGCCATTTGCAATTCCTCTTTTGGAGAAGTGTCTTTTAAGTTCCTTTGCCCATTTCTTGACTGGATTGTTTGCTTTGTTTTTGTTGATTCATGTTAGCTCCTTGTATATCTTTGTGATCAGTCCCTTATCAGTTGTCTGGACTGCAAGTAGGGTATCTCTTTGTCTTGGTTAATGTCTCTTTTGCTGTGCAGAAGCTTTGTTATGATCCACCTCTTGAGTCCCAAGTGGGACTATCCCAGCATTTCCAGATTGCATCAGAATTACCTGCAAACAAGGCTACTTACCCCCTCCCAAAAAATTCCCTTTGAAACAGGAGGAAAAAGCAAGTGTCTAGTTAAAAAATCCTTCAAGACCTATCTCATTTTTTTTAAAATGATTTATTTATTTATGCATACAGAACTGGGGTAGAGGCCAGAGGCTCAGGGGTGGTGAGAGGCTTCACCAGAGACAGAGTGGGGAACAGAACAGGCAGATCAATGAAGTACACTGCTGAGGGGAGCAGCGGGCGGGTCAGGAGAGGTCTGCCACACCATGTGGTCACCTCCGGGGTAGGCGGGAATCGAACTCATGAGGAAGCAGCTTTAGACTCTCAGTGCTGTGCTTTAACCTGCTGCGCCACCAGGGAGGGCCAAGACCTATCTCATATTTTTCTTCCAATATATGTTGGCCATATATAGTCAAAGTGAGTATTGGATCAAAGTAATTTGTTTGCCATGTACCCGACAGCCTGAATGTAGGCAGGGCCTTGCCCCACAGTTACAGTTTAGTGCAACAGAGTATACTACCTCCATCCTGGGTTAGTGCATAACGATGTCTGGGACTATGACTCCTCCTACAGAACTTATGCTTTATAGATATTTTATTTCAATGGAATAGGTTGGTATCTTTAATGTTGTGATAGTTCAAAAATAAGTTACCATAGGTAACTCTGGGCTTAACATTTTAAAAAATTGTCAAAGATCCTGCACCATTTTTACATCCCCACCAACAATGTATAAAGGCTCAAATTTCTCAACATCCTTGTCCATACTTGTTATTCGCTGACATTTTTACTTAAAATATCCTGGTAGGTATAACACATTTTCTCATTGTATTTTTGACTTGTATTTCCTAAGGACTACATGATGCTGAGTGTGTTTTCATGTGCTTGTTGGTCACTTGTCAGTCTATGCAGAAACATCTATTAATATTATTTTTCCATTTCTAATTGAGTTATTGGTGCTTTTATTGTTAATTGGGAAAAAAAGATCTTTACATATTCTAGATACAAGTTCCCATTAGATATAGGATACTGTATAACCAAAAGTCACAAAGACTTACTTCTCTGTACTTTATTGTTTTATAATCTTGCCTCTTACACTTAGGTCTAAGATCCATTTCAAAATAATTTCTTCATATGATAGTATAAGGAGTCAACTTCACTCTTTTGCATACATATTCATTTATTCCAATGTCATTGTTGAACAGAATATTCATTACCCACTGAATTATCTTGGTACCCTTATCAAAAATTAATTTATCATACTTTCTGGGCTCAATTCTATTTCACACACACACACATATATATATTATATGTATGTATATGTACATATTCACATCATGTGCCAGTAATATATGCTGAATTGCATTTTCATAACTTTGTAGTAAGTGTTTAAATCAGGAACTATGAGTCTTCCAATTTGTTCTATTTCAGGTTGTTTTGGCTCTTCTGAGTCCTTCATACTTTCATAAAGATTCTAGGATTATCTGGTTAATTTCTCTTTTTTGCATTTCTTGGTTGCATTTTCATAACGAATCTGCTTAATCTGTAGGACATTATTGCCAATTTAATAATTCCAATCTATGTAGATAGACATGGAATATTATTCAATTTGTTAGGTTGAATTTAATTTCTTTCAATAGTTTCCTAATTTTGAGAATACAAGCTTTGAAACACTATTTAGCAAATGTATTCCCAAGTGTTCTATTTTTTTTAAATCTACTGTATAAAAAATTTTTTCCTTAATTTCATCTTTGCATTGTTTATTGCTAGTATATGGAACTACAACTTATTTTATATATTGATTTTATATCCTGAAACCTTACTGACCACATTGATTAGTTCCAATCAGTTTTATTTGATTGATTTAGGATTTTTTTTTTAGATTTTTTTATTTATTTGTACATACAGAACTGGGGTACAGGCCAGAGACTCAGGGGCAGTGAGAGACTTCACCAGAGACAGAGTGGGGAGCAGAACAGGTAGATCAACGAGGTACACTGCTGAGGGGAGCAGCGGGGGGGGGGTGTCAGGAGAGGTCTGCCACGCCATGTGGTCACCTCCGGGGCAGGTGGGAATCGAACTCAGGTGGAAGTGGCGTTAGTTTCTCAGTGCAGTGCTTTAACCCGCTGCGCCACCAGGGAGGGCCCGATTTAGGATGTTTTTTAAGTACAAGGTCATTTTATTCTCACATCATTTCTAATCTGTGCCTTTTATTTCTTTCTTGCCCAACTGTTCTGTATAGTGTTGAATTGCAGTGTGTAAAGCTAACATCCTTTCCTTTTTCTTGATCTTAGATGCAAAACCATTTCACCCTTCATTATTAAGTACGATGCTAGTATTTCACAGATACACTTTACAATTTGAGGAAGATCCTTGTTTTAATTCATTGAGAATTTTTAATCATGTTGGATTTTGTCAAATGTTTTCACTGATTCACTGGAAAATTCTGTAAGGGATTTTTTTTTTACTTTATTCTATTGGCATGGTGTATTACATCAATTTATTTTTGCAAGCTTATGTTGCATTCCTGCAATAAATCTCACCTGGTCAAAGATTATAGAAATCTTTTTTTTAATGTGATACTGGATTTGATCTGCTAATATTTTATTGAGGATTTTTGTCTTATGTAGAAGATATTTGGCTGCAGTTTTTTGCTGTTGTTTTGTCTAGTTTTACCATCAGGTAACTTTACCCTCATAGCATAAATTTGGAAGTAATCCTGACTCTTATGTTACTGGGGAGCGATTGTAAAGATTTTATAGTAATTCTTCCTGAAACACTGGGTCATATGTTGTTTTTTAAACTTTTTCTATTTTTATATTTTAAAAAACGCAGCTCTGGGAGCATGTCCAATAGTAGGAAGTCAATGTTCACCCTTTAACTCTGTAGTTCTGAAATTAATCTATGGAGAGCTATAATCCACAAGGGTACTATCTAAATTTGAGTTAAAGGGAAAAGTTCCCTTATTTGCCCTTAAAAGTTTTCCAAGTTAAAAAAAAAAAAGTTAAATTTCTGGTGTGTACTGCCGCTCCGCACCCCCTCCCCAACCCCCAACTTCTCTTCCCTTTCGCTACCCCTTGGGACTCGGACTTCCAGACCAGATGCGCAAAGATCTGATAGGTGACACTGGCGATGACTGTGCTATCATCCTGTTTCCGTCAGCATCTGGAGTGGGTGGGGATTGGGTCGAGAGGGTCTCCAGAGGCGGGGCGGAGGAGGAGGGAATGCAAAACGGAACGTCGTCCCTGGGAGCCACGGAGCAGCAACGCCCCTCTCTATAAAATCCGAGCAGCTCTGTTGCGGAGGATTCCAGCGCTTGACAACTCGGCCCCAGCAGCGGAATGGGTTAGCGGGCACCACCATCCATGGGGAACAGCCTGATTAAGAAACCCCGGCAGTGAGGGCGCGGAGGCTTGGACGCCAGGGTCGAGCACAGTCGCTGCGCACCAGCTCCACCAACTCGCTGCCAACGTGGGCGCGGCGCCCAGGACGCGGTGAGTACACTGTCCAGGAAGGTTGGGGCGCAGCGAGGACAGTGGCGGTCAGTTTCTGATCAAAGTACCATCGTTGCAGTTGCCGAACAGTAAGGTTCCTGGGGACCGAGGAAGGGAGCAGAGTTTTGAACCGCGCCCTAGAGAACTGACCCGCTTTCGCAAAATCAGGTGAAGGACTTTGGAGATAGGAAGGAACAATTTTGACTCTTTGACTGCGTATCCCAGAAATTTCATTCTTGCCTAACTCTTTCTACTATAAGCGGGAAATCTGCAGAAACGGGATGCATTTAAGCGAACTTTTCCCCAAAGCGTTTAGCTAACTCTTCTTTTCAGCCTAACCTTTTCTTTACATAGAGACCACAGTGGGAAGCCTGTTGACTGGCCTTCTTTTCAAAGTTGTGCTACATCTGAGATAAAGAGTGTCCTCTAGCTCCCCTGCTGTTTTCCGGGGCGAAGTCGCAGCATCGCTCTTCTCTTCCCACCCCACTCTGCAGACTACTTGAGGTCACCCACCTCCACACGCTGGTGTTCCCAGGTGCCCTATGATTAGTAAGACTGGGAAGGAGAGAAGCTGGGGTGGCTCCAGCCCCTAATCCCCACAGGCTGGGCTAGTGCACATTTGTAACTGAGTCGGGATTTTAGAAGCAGCTCTTCTGCCTCCAAGATGAACTAACCCTAAGCCTTGTTCCTTCCCTCCACCTCTCTATCTCGCTCCCCATTCCCCAGTTCTCTTAAAAGGCGACTTCCATCTTCAGTGCAATTGCAGTCTCCTGTGAAAATTTTCACTTTCCCAAGCATCTTCGGGCTCATTGTCTTTGGGCAATTGCACCAACTGGGGTCTCTTTATCTAATCCTTTTTTTGTTGTTGGTAGTCTCATTAAGTATCCCAGATCCACAATTGGTTCCCAAGAGCCCTCTCTTCATGAAACTTTGGGTGCTAACTTTTCCCTGAGATCACATTTGAAACTGGGCTACATTTATTTCCAGGGTAATTTAGGGAAGAGAAAATTAGAGATGGAAACCAGAAAACTGACACCCTGCTGTTCCATTTTATAAATTTATTGAGCAACTTGCATCCCCCACTAAAACTGCCTCATTCCCAACAAAATTCAAATTACCACTTGAAAGCCCTGGATTTCCAAGCATTTATGCCTCTTAGCATAAGCAGTACACACCCCGAAGAAGTCCTTTTTCAAAAAAGAACCTGTTAGTTCCCATGTTTCCTGGGTTGTATCACCAGCTGCAAAGGGTGTCCTTATGGGTACTGTATCCATCTGACTGTGGTGGATTCTACCCCCTTCCACCCAGATATTGCAGGGAAGCACAGGGAACAGGGCATGGAATGTCCCACTTAACTAACTGTGTGCTGTTTGGAGAGTTATTTAACAACTCTCACCCTCAGCTCCCAGTAGTCATTCTAGTGGTAAAATTCTTTGATTCCTGATATTTCCTAGTTTATTATTTTTAAAATAAACTATAATTACCCTTTTAGCCAAAGTTTGAGGTCCTCAAAACTATATAAATAACTCCTCTCTTAAGATGTCACTAGATTTTCCAGTGCTAGCTCCAGGACCCATTCTCCCAAAAGTCTAGAGATTGGTCTTAATTGTTAGGTCTCAATATTTGCTCAGTTTCACCATACTGTTGTCAGGTCTGTCATTTACTCTAGGTCCCCCCCTTCCCTCCACCTTTTTTTTCCTGACTTCTTGTTCTTCATCCCCATCATGAGGCCTTGATTTCTGATTCAGCTCTTCTTTGACTTAAATAAAAAGCTCCATCATCCAACTCAGAAGAAAACGGATTTTCTTTCATTGGTTCCACTGATGTCAACTCGTCTTCCTTGAGATTTGTGAAATGACTTCTCTCACTGTTGCTTCCGCAGCTTTCTTTATCCATAGACTCTGAGCTTAAACTGTCCCCTCTCAGTCTCCTAAACCCCGGTGCAGTATTCAAAACAAGAGAGACACATGATGGATTGAGCTGTTTTTTTCCTTTTATTTTTTATTTATTTTTTTTATTTTTTAAGATTTATTTATTCAGACAGAACTGGGGTACAAGTCAGAGATGCAGAGGGTGAGAGAATTCACCAGGACAGAGTGGGGAGCAGAACAGGCAGATCGACAAAGTACACTGCTGAGGGGAGCAGCGGGCAGGTCAGAAGAGATCTGCCTCACCATGTGGATCTCCTCCAGGGCAGGCAGGAATCAAACTCATGCGGAAGTGGCTTTAGCTTCTTAGTGCTGTCTTTAACCAGCTGCGCTGTCAGGGAGGGCCTTTTTCCCTTTTATTTTTATTTTATTTTATTTTATTTTATTTTTTGCGTGGGCTAAATTGTGTGTATGTGTGTACATGAATTTGCTGCTTCTGCGTATTACTGCTGTTGTCATTGCATGACTGTTATCATTACTACTCTAGCCCTATGCTAGATAAAGACAAATAAAGAAAAGAAATTTTACCTACTACTTACGCAATGCCCAGATAAAAGAATGCCAGAGTCTCACAGTAGGCTAGCAAATTAAGAATTTTATTTGGAAATTTGAAGTCATTCAAGTGTTTTAAAGATTTAAAAAACTGTCTTATAAATGTAGAACCAGAGCAACAAAACCCATTTATCTAACAAACCAAACAAATCAACGTTTAAATCCACAGTCATTAGAAAATGATATATTTCTTCAAAGTCATTTGAAAATGTCTCGTTCAAAAATTGCCCAGTCATTGAATCGCATGGTTCATGTTTTCATGTAGATGCTTATTAAAACTGTATAGTAAAGGCCCCATAACACAGTGTAAATTTTGCTTCATTTCCAACCTTAATTTATCTTTCTTTATAGTTACTATCTTATTAAATTTTTTACCAAAAATTACCTTTACAATGACTTATATATAGTAACCTTAATTCAAGGAGTATCTACAGGAACTTAAGGTAAAATTCAACTGATTTAGCTAGGGATCACCATCATTCTATTAAAGCTCTAAAATATATTTCAATTATAGTAAAAAAGAGTTATATATTTGCCAGCTGTTTCACTATTTAGTGGTTATTTCATAATAAATTTAACAACTGGAAGCAGAAACGAGGCGTCTATTTAGAACAGACATACAAATGAATCTTGCTATTTAATGTGATTATATTAATATTAAAAGATTTACTATTGACTTCAATTATTTCACTTCATAGAAGATAGTCACAGGGAGAAAATTCCATTGAGCATGCAAGCCAAAATTGAAAACACATTATTAACAAATAATTATCTAAGTACTGTAATTGCTATATGACTATTTCACATCATTTCATTTATTTAGTATTATTGTTTTAGCTCCGTGTAGAAGAGTTTTTGTTTTCTTCTTAAATAGTGTCATCCGAGGGTCTAACTTAACTGAAAATAAAATGTCTACAATGTGCCAATTATCAGAGTTTTCTTCTTATCCCAAAAATATTTTAAATTGTGTTGCTTGTCTCACATTTACTTTTCTATTATTTACAAGCTTGGAAAGTGTGAGAAATGGGCACATTTTGTTTTTCATTATAGCATTTTGCCTACATAGTTGAAGGGTTAATTCTAGGTTTTCTTAAAATTTTAAATCATACAATTATTATTTTGGTCAGGTCAACTTTTATGTGGCTGCTTATTTTATCACATAGAATCTGTATTGTTCTTACTAAATGATGTTCAAATCTTATTTAGATCAATGATTGAGTGTTTTCAATGGTTAACTTCTGAGTAAGACTATTAAAGGGCACACATGTGGTTATGCACTCTTAGAGTTAATCATTGCTGATTTACTCGCTACATTTTCTTTAGCTATTTCTCATTTTATGTTAAACAAAACTTTTTGTCTACCTTGGGAAAAGAGAATTATATCTATGAAATTTTTCAGTCATAGAAGATATTTATGAAGATACTGTGTACCTTTGTGGCATTAGTCCCTGAGGGTATAGCAAAATGTAAAATTGGTCTTTGTCCTATAGACATATTGATCAAGCTAAGCACATATTTAGATACGGGCCTCTCCTAACTTATCAATGCCACTGGGAGTAGGGAGACACTTAAAAACAACTGTCCCTCAGACCTACTGTTTCAGCCAGGTGGAATGTCTAACGTGACCACATTATTAAATTCCAGCCACATCTATAATAACCACAATTTCCCCCTCCTTGATAACCATCCTTTGATGGTTATCACAGCTTCCTTGTATTCTGCTACTATATATGCTCCACAGGTCGCTTAATTATTTGCTGTTCATTTACATTCAACTAAATCAATGGAAATGTTAAATATTTTCAAATCTGTGGTTTAGAAGAGATATGTCAGGAAAAAATCCTTTTTCTAATCTCATTTAAGTATATTGTTCTATTACACACAAGAAAATGACTAGAAATCGATGCTTTAGTCTTCCTAATTGGGTAAGTAGGTATTAATGTCATTTTTTAGAATAGTAATGGCCAGGGGAAAGTTAAAAAGGAAAAATATCAAAAAGTTGAAATACCAATAATTCTTAAGGTATTCTGTAGGAGGTAGCACAAGCATATTATAATAACTTTCTGACAAGCAATTTTAATTTTTATTGAGGTAACATTGACTTAAAACTTCATGTAGGCTTCAATTGTACAACATTATAATTCAACATCCATATAGTTACAGCACAAATACCACCAGAAGTCTAGTTTCCATTTACCACCATACAATTAATCCATTTTGTTCAACTCACTCATTCTTTTTCCCGTTTGTTTTGTTTTTATTTGCTCATTGCTTTGCTCTTTATTTTCCACATAAGAGCAAAGCCATACAGTATATCTCATTGTGTCTAACTTATTTCACTTAGCACGATGCCCATTAAGTTCATCTATGTTGTGGAAATGGCAGGATTTTATCTTTTTTATAGGTGAGAAGTATTCCGTTAGGTATATACACTACACCTTTACTTATCCATTGATAGAAACTTAGGTTGTTTCCATACCTTGACTATTAATAATATTTTGCAATGAATATAGCATCCAC